GGAAGAATTGAAGCACCCACTTACAGTGCTTTGTTACAGTAGTCAGCACACTCAGCCACTCTGTCATGGCATTCAGGATGTATTTCATTGAAAAAACACATGTAAACTCAAGCTCTGATAAAGTATTTATGACCATCACCATCCCCCACACCCGTCCCCCATCCCGAGGCGTGGCAGCTTGCCCTCACCGCCTGTCTCTGCGGCTCTTGTTGACAAGCAATAGAAGCATCCTCAGCACCCCAGCCCCCACATAGTCATTCTAGTCCCCAGGGGCACCAGCCACTTTCCTTTAATGTGAATATATTTGTCGTGACCCACGTCTGACTTCCAACCACAGAGTTCTAAGGGAGGCGCGTGAAGACGCATTCTGCCTCGCTGGCGGCCTCAACAGTGAAGGAGTCGGGGTGGCGTCTTGAGCACCTGCCCTTTCTGCACCTCACCTTCTCGCTGTGTTAGACAAAGATCCCAGCGCCAGGGACCCCATCTGCTTCTGCTCTCAGGGCAACACCTGTTTGCTGCAGTTTGTGCCCAGGTTATGAACTTCTTAGAACGTTCTGCTCAAAGCCTGCATCTACCTGCAAAGGTGTCCTATGAGGATCAGTGACACCTGGGGGGCAGGTGCATGGACCCTGTGCCCTGGTTCTCTTCAAGCACAAGACTTGCTCCAGCCTCCTCTGGAAGCACAGAACAGAGCCTTCTTACTTGACTGAAACAGCAACGGCTGTTTACAACAGTAACGTACTAGATTACAGCGCCTGTGTTCCTTGGAGAATGCTTTCATTACTCCGGGTTGCCTTGAAGTGACATCTGAGGAAAATGCAATTAGCCATCACTTTGGGAAAGGTAGAGGAAGCCCCACCCCCACAGTGCAGGGGGAGGGGAAGGCCAGGAAGAGACCCTGGAGGAGAAGCTGGAGGAACCGGGAGGCAGGCAGGGATCCTGGGAGGGGTGAGGCAGGGCAGGAGGAAAAGGAAAAGAGAGAAGATGGCAAAGAAGTGAAAACATGCGAGCGAAGCTGTATTGGGAGCACACTCGGAATAACCAAGTGACCCGGTGATGTGCTTTGCAGACCATGAAATGCACCTCAGTCTTACAGTGTGTGAGGAGGTGTCTGTGTGTGGATGTGGACGTGAGCTGGGGGGGTGGAAATGCCTTCTCAGTGTGAGCAGAGGCCCCGTCCTGAGTTGTGCAAACTCAAGTGGCTGGTCGGTTTGTTGTGGGGACACTTTCACACCGTGATTCACTGTCATCAAACCAGTCCTGGTGTTACTCCCCAACAGCTCCAGTGCCAATGATGCAGGCTCCGCAGTGGGGCCCCTCCCCTCAGCACAGCGAGGACGCCAGCTGGCCCTCCTGGGTCCTGCTTCTCAGCGCCCAGGACAGCATTTGTGCCACAGGCAGCTCTCCCACCTAACGGAGCTCTGTGTCTCCAAGGCTCATTTCAAGTGGCTTCTGAGGTCCTGGAGAGAACTGAGCTGCGGGTCTCAGCAGGTCATGCAGCCCCGATGCCTCAGTTTCCTCATCCATAAGATAGAACTGATAATGGCCCTCAGAGCATCCTGGCGGGAGGGGGAGGGTGTATGTTAGAGGAGTCCCTACATAATAAAGCACCTGAACAGCTCCTGGCACTGAGTGTTCACTGGAAGCTGAGGAGGGGTGGGCGAGCTCACCAGGTCCCATCGCACATGACAGGGCAGCCAGCTGTCACAGGACAGAGTGTGATGCTAAGGGCGTCTGCACTTAGGAGGGATGGGTGTGCTTTTTGGATGACTGGACAAGGGATACGAGCTCGTCTGTTACTCCTCAAATACTCTCCCACGAGACAGGCTAGGTCAGGAAGAAAACAACCCCCAATGCTTCCAAAGGATGCCGGGGAGCCACCAGGATGTCAGACATCTATACCTGCTATACCTTGAAACAGCATGCACTTCTTCATGTAACCTGGCATGCACTTCTCCATGCAACCCGCATGCACTTCTCCATGTAACACACATGTACTTCTCCATGTAGCACACATGTACTTTTCCATGTAACACACATGTACTTCTCCATGTAACCCGCAAGCACTTCTCCATGTAACACGCATGCACCTCTCCACGTAACACATGTGTACTTCTCTATGTAACACACATGCAATTCTCCATGTAACCCAGGAGTCAGAAACACTACCCTGTCATAACTGGACCCTGTTTCTAGGGCGACGCACTCACTGAGGATTTGGATCTGCTGTATAAACTCTGACCTCATCTTTTATGGTAGAGCAGGATGGTAAAAAAAAAAAATCAAACACTCCTAATACACACGATACTTATTATCTTCTTAAGTGATAGATGTTGTCCTTTACTAGTAGGTGTATGTGCACGAAAAACACAAAAATAGAAATTTTAAATAGATGAGATAAAATACAGTTACTATTTTCTTCTATCCTGAGTCTTTTACTTTGAAAACCTTGTTATAACCCAGGTACCCGCGCCTGGAGACTCAGAGCGAGTCTGAGCGGCTCCGTGAACATCATAAACACGTCGTTACATCATGTAAGGAGGGTCACTTCTGGGGAGGGTCACTGCTGGGGAGAAGCTTCTCGGAGCCCCTGGCAAAGGTGAGCAGCGAGGACCATGAATGTGAAACCAACCTTGGTCCTTCTGTCTTCCTGGGATGTGGGGGTGGGGGCTGCTGTGGTGGGACTGAGCCCACCCTAACTCGAGCTGTCATTTCCCTTCATGCTGCTGTCCTAGGTGAGTCTCTGGGGAGATTCTGAATCTGAATGGGATTCTTCTTTTTTTTTTTAAAGATTTATTTATGTATACAAGAATGGGGTACAGGCCATAGGTGCGGGAGATAAGAAGATTCACCAGAGACAGAGTGGGGAGCAGAACAGGCAGACTGACTGAAATACACTGCTGAGGGGAGCAGCAGGCGAGTCAGGAGAGGTCTGCTGCACCATGTGGGTAGCCCCTGGCTGGGGATTGAACTTGTGCTGCAGTGGCCACGGAAGCTTCATAGGTTGCATCTTAACCCCTTGCGCCACCAAGGAGGCCCTGAATGGGATTCTATTTGATGCTCAGCATCAAATGCTCACGGGTTGAAACCAGAGCACACATTCTTGGGGGCAATTGTGAGTGATTCAACCCTCTCTTCCCTGTGCCACAGACATAGCACTTCTGTGCCCTGTGAAATGCTTCATGGGTCCGGTGGGTCCAAGGAGCCTCACAGTGGTGAGGGATTTCAGGTGTGCACACACCAATCCCCACCCAATAACTTCCTGGACAACAGGATCATTTGCCGTAAATGCCTCCCATTAGGTCCAGGAACCTGGAGACAGTGACTTTCGGATGACTCAAAGCTACCCACAGAGCCTGGCCTGGCTGAGTTCAGGCTGCAGTGTCCTTACAGAAGAACCAGCTTATGTGTTTTTTTCCTCTGGGAAAAATTGACTTTTCACACCCTGCTCCTCCCCCTCTTTTTACATGATGCGATGGTTACGTTCATGATAAAGAATATTCAAGTTCTGACATCATAATTCATAACCAGGGGGATTACTCATGACAAGCTTGCAGTCTGGCGAGGCACATTCTGTACCCTCTCTATCACTGAAGTCAGCAGTGGGTTTAAAAATAGCATTGCTCACACCCAGGGTACCACTGATTCATTAAGGGCTGAACAAACACTATTCTGGACAGTCCCCTCCCTCTTATATTATTCTGGACAGTCCCCTTCCTTACATATGGCTTCCAGATTGAGATGTCCAGAATTGGGGTGCAGCCCCAGTGGGGTGTTAGGTGGTGCTAAGTCACAAATAAGAGACCCGCAGATCCTAGATGGAACCCTCAAACATTACAAAACCCGGACTCAATATGTCATCTCACTTGTGACTCAAAATGATCATCTTAAAATGCAATGATCAAGAATATCGATTAACTTGGGGACCATAATATGCTGAACACACCAGGGTCAAGAGGAATGATGTTACAACAACGTGGCATGTTATATATGACACCAAGAATTTTCATTGTCAAGGGGGCAAGAAGGTTGATTCTAGATGCTTAATTCAGGCTCTTTAGAGAGAAATGTCCCTAGAGTGGAGAGTGTTTTCATAATTTAGAGATGCCCTTAAGAGGACATGAGGCTGTTTGGGCAAATTCTGTGTTGGGCAGGCAACCCTCATCTCTACTGGGATCCAGGAGAGGCCCTATGACTAAGGTAAATGCACCCCACACCTCCCTGGGATGCAAGGATTATCTCTCTCTAAATGATTCAGACGGCACACTCAGCCTTCTGGAGATTACTTAGAATGAATCAGTCCTGCAGAAGCCTTGAAGACTCAACAAAGTCAAATATCCAAATCTGCATGAGGAGGATTCCAGAGCCCTGGCGAGTGTCCAGAAGCACCTGCAGAGTGCTCTGTGCTGGCCGAGCGGCAGGAAGCCACGGGCATTGTGAGAGACGCGCTGCTTTTCAAGAGGCCAACATGCCGAGGTGGTGACCACATGAGGCAGTCATAGCTGAAGAAACGGTGTAGGGTTCCCAGGGAATACGGACATGGAAGAAAGCACCCCAAGAGGAGGAGGGGGTAAGCTGTGGAACAGAGGCCAGCGCGTCAGCACGTCGGAAGCCACGCGTGGAGGTGAAGCTGTGCAGGCCATCTCCCTCCCCCGGGACACGGGACAGTTTGCCGACACAACATGAAAATGAGATGACTTAGGATAAAACAAACAGAACCCATCTGAGGGGGCACAGGAAGAACAAAGACGCAAGACCGCAGCTGAGGGCTTGGGAGGGAGGAGAGGAGGGCGTGGGAGACGCTGGCTCCGACGGGGAATGCACCGGCCACCCTGGAGGTGTCTGTGACAGAAGATCCTGAGCAGAGGGGCTTGGTCAGTGGGGAGCAACCTAAAGACCCTCAGCAACTGGAAGTCACGGTGACAAGTGACAAGTGAAGGAAGGCTGGTGCTCGGGGGCCCTTGCTGACGAGCAGAGGCCGGGGGTGGCCTGGCCTGGGTGTTCCCAGCGGGCAGCAGGCCCACTCATCAAGGTTGCATCCAGGGCATGGCAGCTCTGCATGCACTTCTCAGTGACACCTGCAAGGTCTGCGCGACCTGCAACTCAGTCAGCTCTGGGACAGGTTCTTTGAGCACTGAGTCCGGTGAGGAGGTCCTCCGGGCAAAAGGGGGGTTACTCTCAGGTATCATAAAACCGCAGTTCCTAGGCCGGGGTTCCAGGAGGGGCAGGGACCTGCAAGCCTCCAGGAAAAGCAAGGAGCTCCTGGGTCAGCCAATCAAAACGACTGGGCCAATTCGGGCGCCTCTTGCGACATAGAAGATACTCATGAAGAACATCCGAATGTTTTCCTTCCAATGGCTGTGAGAACATTCTGGTTCTTCCACCAGCATCAAATACACTCAATTTACTCCTGCACTTGAGACGCGGGACCCAGTGTTGAAAGTCCACTCTAAGTCCATTCAAAAGGTGGCGAAGGGCAGGGACTTTGCGGGGGCCGTCCTGCTCCTGCGGCTCTCAGCTGCCGCCTGTGGTCTTGACCCTGCCCGCCAAGCCCTTTTCATTCTTTTTTAGTTAAGCAGAAAAGGAAGCTATCAGCTCCATTTCCACTCTCTCTGCATGAATCCATTTCCCTTTTCTTTCTTGGCTCAAGCGATAAGGCTCAGACGGGATCCCCACTGAGTTTTTCAGCGATTCTTACCTTGCTAAATGTTTTTCTCTTCTAGGAAATGCTGAATCAAAATAGAAGGTGGGAGAAAGTAGGAGAATACATTCCAAGGGGCAAATGGAAATAGAAGAAAGGTAAAAGAATAAGCCTGTCGATTTCTCTTCTGCCAGCTTTTACTCGATAAAATGCTGAGAGTGAATGGGGGTGCGGTAGGGTGCGGGGTAGGGGGGGGGCGGGGGGGTGAGAGCCTCTATGGAAGTGAAGTCAGCAATCCAGGAATCTGGTCTCCTCTTACTCAGGCCATAAAATCCCACTAAGTTGCCAGGAGTGTCCTGCAGGACAAGCTCAAACACTAGTTAGCTCAAAAGTGGAAGGGACTCGGCAAACTATTCTTGCCGTGGCCCTGGCCTGGAGCACAGTGAGCTGATGAGGCTGGATGGGCAGCGCTTGCTTGGGATGGGGGAGGCAGCCCAGGGCCCCAGGACCAGCATCCATACACCCCAGTGTGGGAGCCTCCTCCCTGCCCCTTGGGTCCTGGGCCAGGTGAAGAGCTTCGGGGCTACCAGATCACCGCAGCCACAAACCAGAGAGCAACCTAGGATCAAGGCAAGCCTTTTTTTTTTTTTTTTTAAAGCTACAGGTTACAATTTGGGAAAAGTTATCAGAACAAAGAAAAACAGTGGGATGGCTGGGGTGGCTGGTGTCCTTTTTCTCCCAGTAACTCTTCCCCACTGATGCACAGCGGAACCCCATCCACTCAGAGCTGGGGTTGTAACAGGGTGGTCCCCAGGAAAGGGGGAGGTTCCCTGCCCCACCCAAGGGAGGGTGGAGCTGAGCAGGAAGAGGAGAAGCTGCAGAAGAGACTGAGGAAGGAGCAGGATGGAGCCAGGAGACCTGGAGGAGGCGCATGGAGCCTAGAGACACGTGAAGAAACTGCGCTTGTCTTTGGGTCATGGACTGGGTGACACAGATGTGGGTGAGACCCGTGGGGAGGTGACAATGGCAGCTTTTATCTTGATGTTGATTTTGCTCTTTTCCTTCCGGGCTTGTTTGGTTGTTTCTGACTCTTTTCTGTGGGTCCCCACTGGAAGGTGCTTTAGACTTGTGGCAGGCTTTGGGGCCTTGCTCTGGGCCAATCCCATATGGATGGACTTTTACCCACGAGGGGACGGGTAACTGTGGGTGCTTCATTTAGAAACTGGACTCTTTGCCTTACCTGCATTGTTTCCTAGTTGTATTACAGTTCCTTCCCATTAAAGTCTCCTATGTTTTGTGTTGATGTGGCGGATGGCAGAACCCATTTAGAATGGGCAGGTTTGCGGGCCTTGGGCTGCCCCTTTCCCTGCCCTATAACAGGGTCAGTGCCAAGGGGCGGAAGCTGCCCTGTGAGTTGTTCAACCAGGGACCCCACACCAACATCGCTCTGGGCGATAGATAGGGCGACAAGGGGCCCTGGCACACGAGTCCCAGAAAGGGCCCTGGTCATGGAGGGCCCCAGTGAAGGAGCCCCTTCAAGTCATGGACTAACTGTTGAGGCCAGACTGGGCTCCAACCAGGCAGGCTTGGGCCACAGGACAGAAAACCTCGTTCCAATAGGGGTGAGAACTTGCTGGGTCAACAAAGCTGGAGTGGGAAATGTGGGTGAGATGAAAGTGCTGAATCAGTGTTAGCAGGGTCACGTTCTCTCAAACTGGTCACTGTGCTGAGCGAGGTGGGCGAGCACCCCCTTCTAGAACACACAGCATGCGGGCAGGTGTGCGCCCACCTGCTCTGGGATGCAGTCAGCTCTCTGTAACCTTCGGGCCAACTTGGCTGCTAGTAGCACAGGTGGCTCCTGGGCCCGGGAAAAGGTGCTGGTGGGACCCAGAACTGACTTGTATGGATGATTTCATTTTAATTTTATAGCCTCTCGTAGCTTGTAGCTATGGTACCTAATGGTGTGGCAGTAAAGGGCCCTACCCTCAAATCACTCTGGAAAAAAAAAAAAGCACTTGTACCTATATATACTTCCATCCAGAGAGACGTCCATAAATACATATGTGTATGTCCACACACATGTGGCCACAAGAGCAGCGTGGAAGCAAGAGATCGCACAGGCAAGTCATAAAGCAAACGGGCTGACAAGACAACGGGTGACTCCGGTAAAAGACAAGGGGTTATTCTTTGTATTAGTTTTATTTTTGCAAATTTTCAGTAAGTGAAACATGTTTTCCAAATAGAACTTTTCAAAATGTATTTATTCATTCCTCACTGATGTCTAACCCCACGGGTCCTGCTGGAACTGATTTGCAGATCGGGTTTGGGAGGGGGAAGTTCAAGGTTTTCCAAACTTTGGAGCAAATGCTACGATCCCACAGGGCACGCCACTTGCCCCAGGAGCGCGTGGAGCAGACCTGAGCTAGCGCCGCTGCCCACGCGCCCATGGACTTTCTCATCTCTTCTCCCTTGACCCCTTGCCGGTATGTGTCCGTAATGGATTTGACAGCGCTGGCAAGTTCCGGGCAGTCTTGTAAATAACAGCTTTGCGGACACATAGCTCACACGCCACACAGTGGCCCGACTAAAGCGCAGGGGGTCCGTGGCTTTGATATACGCAGTATGGTCTCAGCCAAAGCATTTTCCTCCCTCTGAACAGAACCCCACGCCCATCCGCACGCACCCCCAGAATCCCCCTCGCCCCTCCCCCCCAACCCCTGGCCACCTCTCATCTACTTGCTGCTTCGGTGGCTCTGCCTATCCTGAATGCTTCACACACACGGAACCACTGACTTGGGGGCCTTTTGTGTCTGGCTTCTCTCACTTAACCTAATTTTATTGAGGGTTCATCCGTGTTGTCTGCACTTTGTTCCTTTTTATTGCCAAGTACTATTCCACTGACGGCTGCAGAGCATGCCCATCGGCCAGTGGACGCTGGGGTCCCGAGCAGGCCGCTCTGATTTCCTGCTCAGGTGTCCATGTGGACAAACGTCTGGACACCGGGAGCGGGTCCAGTGCAGGTCATGTGGTGAAGCTAACCTTTTCAGGAACTGCCACCCGTTTTCTGGAGTGGCTGCCTGGAGTCCTCAGGAATCGCGCCGTCGGGGACCCAGCTGCCGGTTGTGGTTCTGTGAAGTGCTCAGTCCACATGCACAGCAGGAGTCGGGGTTTGTTTGACTCGGAAAATAAACGAGTGGAGCTGTGAGTGGTGGGGCGGGCGGCACGCTCGGCCTGGCCTGGCCCCCGAGAGCAGCCGGCACCTGGCAGGGCGGACGGGGTCTGGCACCCCACGTGCCGGTGCCACATGAACGGTGCCACATGAACGGGCTCTCTGTGCGCAGCGCAGCTGCAGGGGGAGGCGACCTGGCACGCTCTCCACTGCCCCCTCACCCCGGCCAAGCTGTCCGTGCTGCTGGTCAAAGCCCCGGATAGGGTTATTCACTGTGGCCCACATATCGGGCTCCTCAAAATGCTGGCCCAGGAACTGGCAGAAGGAAAGCTAGGGAGGGTGAGGGCCCAGGAAATGCAGAGAAAGCAAAGATGGCACCAGACGGGCCCTGTGCTGTTTTCTGGGGTGAGGCTGATAATACGCGCAGGGCCTGCACCCCAAGGCAAGTGGGGCTTTCTGCACAGGCCTGGGGCGAGCACAGCCCCAGATTCACATTAGGGGCTCAGACTAAGCTCCCATGTATGACTGCGATTCCACAGCTACCCAAGCAAGTTTTGAGGTGGTGGGGGGGTGGGCTGGTGCGGTAGGAAAGATTTCTGCAGAGAACAGAGGAGAGCCGGTCATCAGGGCTGTGTCTTATTCACCGGCTCCCTTCAAGGCACTGGGGAAGCCTTGCTTCATCACAGACCCAGGGCGGCCTCGGGCGCCGGCTGCCCTCACCCCATTCTCTAGTGATGCTGCCTTCGTCCTCCACTCTCCCACCTCGGCACCTTTGTGGCCAAACCTTTCAAATAAATTGTGTTGCTCAGGCAGACAGCTCAGCTGCCTGTTAGTAAAGAAAGCTCGACCACTTTTTTGTGTTGTGGGTGGAGAAGAGGAAGACAGGTGGTCTGCGGTCCCGCGTGTCCCCCACGGACAAGGCTGTCCCCCGGCGCCAGCTAATCTCCACATTCGAGCCTGTCCCCACCTCGCTCTCCACTCAATCCCACGGGTGTTTAGCTCCGGGAATCACCCCTATTTCCAGTGCACCTGTCCCCTCAGTCACCATCCACTAAATACCAATTGTGATCATCATTTTTAAGAAATGTTACCTATTCTATTTGCCTGGGTACACTTACAATCTTTTTGTTGTTGTTAGATTTTAAGAAGAATATTTTAGCAAAATATAATTGTATTTCATACTCGATGAAAAGTCATTAGTAATTCTGATACAAAAAGATAATAGGGGCCTCCCTAGTGGCGCAGGGGTTAAAGACAGTGCTATCAAGCTATCCGCAGCCACTGCAGCCCGAGTTCGATTCCCAGCCAGGGAGCTACCCACATGGCACAGCAGACCTCTCGTCTCGCCCGCTGCTCCCCTCAGCATTTCAGTAGAAATTCCCTCAGGATTTCAGTAGATCCGCCTGTTCTGCTCCCCACTCTCTCTGGTGAATCCTCTCAGCCCCAGTACCTCTGGCTTACACCCCAGTTCTTGTATGCATAAATAAATCTTTAAAAAAAACCCATAAAGATAATAAGTTAATATTTGGCATATGAGTTTTGGGTGACTTCACGATATGTTTGAGTTTTCTAATAGAATATAAAATACACACTATTTTAGAGTCCCTTTTTGGTAAGTATTTTATAAAATGACTTTTTTCCTTTTGTATTACTTTCTATGTTTTAACTTATATTCCTTCTTGAGGACTGCTATCATCCAAACACTTATTTTCCCACTGTATTATTTATGTTTTTATTGAGGTAACATTGGCCTGCAATGCTGCGTATGATTCAGAGGTGCAGGTCCTCCCTTCTTCAGATGCCTGCACCCTCTCCGTGCCTATCCATAACCATCATCCTCATGAACTCTGGGCGTCTGAAATAGGCTTAGCCTATCAAAATCACAGATGACTGGGCCTGGCACTTGATATGATGAGAAAAGTCTGAGGAAATGAAGATGTGAGCAGAGACTTGAGCTTCCACATAGTAGCATCTCATCTAATCTCACAACAACACCGCTGTGAGATTACTATTAATACTATTATTCTCACCCACCAAGAGAAGAAAGAGACTCTGAGAGATTAGCCATGCAGGGTCCCCAGGTAATAAAATGCTAGAACCAATGTTCAAGTGCATGTGGAATTACCCTAAAACTTGCATGTTTCATTGGTAGTGTAAGTGATAACGTTTAAACATCATATACCCTTATTCAAGCATGATATGTTCTTTTTTTTTTTTTGTAAAAAGAACAAGAGCAGGAGCTAGAAAAGTTGGTTTCAGTCTGGTTTTGTGTTGACTTTGAGCAAGTCACTTAATATATCTGAATACTGGTCTCCTTGCCTATAAAGATAAGACTTTTTCCCAAGTGTGCTTCAGTTCATGTCCTGTGAGCTATTCACACTTATTATGGAAAAGGAATAAAGAATATTTGAGGTCCAAATAGTTTAAGAAGTGTTGGGTTGAGTCAAATAAGCTGCTGTTCCTTTTGCAGGACTTCTCAGAGCCTTTAATCCCCTAATACCTAGAGGGAATCTTCACAGGAGACTTCACCATAGACTCTGTGGTCGCATATTTATTTATCCAAGGAAAAGCTCCCTTCCCAACCCCTCATACAAAGCATTTAATGGTTTTTGGTCAGGACAGGAGGTGGGGAAATATTAGATTGGATTTCCTTAAGGAAGCTTCTAGTGCAAACAGTGAGAGATTTTGTGATTTATCTCATTCTTTCTACTAGACAACATATTTCTGAAGGTAGCCCGCAATTTATATGAAGCCAAGAAGATGGCAGCCTGGTAGAGGCAGGTTCAAATGCTCAGAGGAGCAGAAGGAGGTGGAGAGAGAGAGAGGAGGGTGGGAAGACACATGGACAGACGGCTCCACTATTTCTGCCCAGTCGTTCCAATGAAGGGATGACCCATCTAGAGGCACCTCCTACCCTGTCCATTGCAGTTGGCCTGCCTTTGTCCTCCAAAGCAGATCTCCTGGGCATTAAAGAGATTTTTTAAGCTTTCCTGATCGACTGATGAGGAGGAATCAACTTCACCCGCTTTTTAAAATAAGCAAAGAATTTGCAGAGATCTTTCCAAAGGAGATAGACAAATGGCCGATAAACCCACGAAAAATGCTCACCGTCATCAGTCATTAGGGAAATGCAAATCAAAACCACCACGAGATCCCCAGAGAATTGAAAACATATGTCCACACAAAAACATGCACACAAATGTGCACAGTAGCGCCATTCCCAACAGCAAGTGGAAACTGCCCAAATGTGTAGCATGTGACGGACAGGTAAACAACAGTGACCTCGTCGTACAAGGGAGTATGACGTAGACATAAAAAGGAATGAAGTGCTGATACAGCCTACAATGTGGATCAACTGTAAGAACATGACGCTAAGCACAAGACGGCAGACACAGGAGAGCAAATATTGTAGGACTGTTTATGTGAAACGTCCAGGATGTGCAAATCCGTGGAGACAGGGAGCAGATGAGAGGTTGCCAGAGGCTGGGGGAGGGGAGTGACTGCTCCTGAGTGCAGGATTTCTTTCCAGGGTGATGAAAATGTTCTGGAACTAGACAGTAGCTATCAATGCACAGTTTTGTGAATGTACCAAAACCAACGACTTGTATGTTTCAAAAGGATAAACTACATGGGACGTGAATTATAGCTCAATGAAGCTCTCTTGAAAGCAGGTGCAGTGGTGTAGATGCTTGATAATGCTGCCCTCAATGAGCCTGTGATGTGTGCCATCGTCCCTTTGTGCAGGTGAGAACACTTGCGGATCAGCAAGGACCAGCTCATTGCCAAGAGTTGCATGGCCGCCACGTCGGGGCGAGGATTTCACCTCGAGCCGCTGACTGCAAAGACCCAGCTCTGCCCAAGCTGCTTCTGGCCAAGGTGATAAGCAAACCCGCAACTGCAGAACGATTCCTAGGGAAAAACAGCACCCCTTGGACAAAGAATTGCTGATTGACACAAAATACAAGGATTGGAGGTCAAGTTCAAGGGCACCTTGCCAAGTCCCTTCAATTTACAGATGAGTAAGTGGAGCTTCCAGCAGCCAACTGACCTGCCTGACCAAGGTGGCAAGGCCGGTGGGCTCGCCTGCACCTCGTTCTGCAGAAGACGAGCAGGTGTATTAGCCACTGCCGCTAGTTAGGAATTAAAAGGGAGACAGGGTCGCCCAGCTGGGGCGTGCAGGGCCACAGGCATTCACCAGCCTTCAAACATGCCAGCAGCACATCCAGACCCAGCCAGGAGATCACTAGAGCCGACGACAGCTCACATTCCTCTGCAGCATCCCCGAAATGTCTCTCACGACCCCAGGAGTGCTCTGAAAAGTCCCACCAGGGTGCGCCTGTTCCCAGGATCCCTCGGGAGCTTTTGAACTACTTGGCAGGAAGGGATGGGGAGTTCTGGATTTAGCATTCAAGTGTGAGGATAAAGGCTGGGGAATTAAGAAACTTCCCTCCTCTCTCCTCTAAAGGGACTCAATGGGAGACCACTTGAGAAGGGAAGGGCGGGAAAGCTGCCGCCCCAGGAACACCCACTGGGGCGTGTGGGGTCTTGAGGACTCTGTGCTGGGGATCTTTTTAGTGCCTGCTGGACGTGTCCATGGGGCTGTCCGGTCTCACACCTAACACATCCCAAATCAAGTTCATTCCCCTGTTCCGCTTCCCACCAACCTACTCCTCCTGAGGGAGTCCCTGTCTCCTCCAACTGTTCCATCATCACCATTCTCCAAGCTCAATACCCTGATCACCTTGGCCCTCCTTTGCCCTCCTGCCCTCCTTCTGCAGCGGCCGGCAGTGCCGGGGCTGCTGGCTCTCCCTCCTCAGGCCCTGGAGGGCCGGAGTCCACCTCCTCCCTTGCCTGCACAGTGCAAGCACTGTCCTTGATGCAATAAATGTTTACTGGATCCAGAGGTCAATCCCACCCACTACTAGCTAAGTCCTTCACAGCAAGTAGCAGCCAAGATTATTTAAACACAGAAACAGAAAAAGAGAAGAGGGCTGACCTCACGCGAATGGGTCAAAGAGAGGATATTAAATAAAAGCTCGAGCCAGGAAGAGCGGAGCAGATGGGGCTGTGAGGCTCCCTTCGCGTGTGTTCTGCCGGAACGGAAAGGCACACCGCGAGGCCGGGGCTGCAGGCTGCATCTACAAATTATTAATTATTTCAGTGTCGTCCCTCTGCCCTCCCCATCTGCTGGCGGTTACCACAGTCAAATAATCACAGGCAGATCGAAAAACCTGACCTGTCACTTGCTCCAGTTCATACCAAGTTAGGCCCCCAATGGGTCCCTGCGAAGCCTGACACCAGCACCCAGAGCAACCTCGGACTCCCGGGCGCCAGGCCCACCCAGGCCGACCTGCAGAGACAGGCCAAGGAGGGGGCGCGCTCGCGGGGTACACGGGCCTTTCTCCTCCAGCCTCTCTCACAGCGCTCAGCACGGATCACCTGGCTTCACTCCACAGCTTCACTTCATCTTGCAGAAGCTTGTGTCGGGTGCGCGCATGTGGCCACACCGCGGGAGCGAGCATTCGCTGCTGTGCGTGGTGGCCACTCACGTGCAGATGCCCCAGGCCTGCGGGGGGCTTGTGCTCGGGTCCAGATACCAGACGTGCGGAGGGCTGGCGAGCAGGTCTGCCTCGACCTTCTCTCTCCCCTCGAACTATAATAAATCCTCGGCCTTCCAATGGCCGCTGACACCCACCTGCTGTCCGCGTGCCCAGGAGAGCCCCCTTCCGTCCACCCATCCCTACCCGCTAGGGCACAGGGAGAGGCAGGCGCCCTTCTGACTGCAGCCTCTCCACCATTTGTGTCGGGATTTAGAAATCATAAGACGCGCTGGACCATTTACTTCTCTGTGAAATCACAATGATAACTACGTGGAGTTGGGAAAAGCAGTAATTTTTAAATTATACCGGGCACCGAGCCAAAGCCAGTGGGGACACAGTGACAACAGTCATTTGTCCAGGGCCGGGCAGGACACTCCCAGGGTCTGGTTCTTCTTCAGAGAGAACCCGCATCTTGTCATGCTAGGTTGGGGTGCCAGGTTAGACTCTGAAACATCCCACCTGCCCTTTGGCCAACACAGCGCCCTACACCCGGCTGCGCAGCGCTGCCATGGGTGCAGAGGGGTGCGGGACAGAGGGCCGGGTCAGGTCCTGACTTCACTGGCGGGCAGCCCCTCCTCCCCAGCCCAGGCAGGCGCCCCTCAGGGGACAATCTGAGAATTGACCTCTGTCCACCTGGCCCTCCACACTCCTTCCTCACCTTCACCAACATGCCCATCTCTCTACGGAGTATCCCTCAGCCCAAGACAAGGTGGTCTCAGAAGTAGCAACAGACGAAGCCCTCCATGAAGCATCTCTAGCAAAGCATCTAGAAAATTCTGCTTGTGCCACCTCACTTTGACTACCGCCGGAGCCCCTTCAGGTGCAGACAACATGAGGGCACCCAACAAGCCCTGGAGCCCAGTTAGCCCCCTTCCCGTGAGCCCCAGTAAAAATCCAGGCCCCTCAGGTCTCCCCTCTGGGCCCTACCCATCCCACGGTGCATCCGAGAGGCCCGTCAGGTCCAGAAAGTGGCCACTGACGGCAAGTGGCAACTTAAGTCCAAATAAAATAGAAATGACCTAATTCCTCAGTCTCACCGGCCACATTTCTAGCACTTGATAGCGGCACGTGGCCAGGGGCCACTATTTGTCGATCTAGGACATTAGTATCTGTCCAGAAAGTTCTAGTCGACAAAGTACTACCCATAGCGGAATTTAAACGCGTCTTTTAAACGCGTCGTTTTCTTAACGGTCACTTTGTGGTCTTGAGGAAAATCTATTTCCAACCCTAATGGACAAGTTGCTAAAAAACAAACAGAAAAATACCCAATGAAGTAAAAGGTCATCTTAAAGCAGCGTCCCTCGGACAGCAAACACATTCTTCCAGTCAGTCCGCTTATCTGGGCAGCGACTCCTTCCACTTCCTGACCTCTTGGCTCACCGGCTCCCA